TATATACTATCGAACGGTGTCGAATAAATGGATCGATGGGTCACCATATTTGGACTCATGTGCAGGTTAGCGTATGTGGAGGTACAGGGAAGGATTCATATCTCAGGAGTGGCAGTGCACTTTGAACGCCGGTCCATGTCGGTCCAACTTGCAGATAGTCTCCATCGGCATCTCTCACTGGCATAACAGTGTGTTCGACATAACACTGCATCCATTTCAAAATATAGATCACAGAGTACCATCACATTGATGGAGATGGATTGAGTTCCTGCAAATCATGTAGATATCCAATTCTATTTGCATCCATCCATCTATCAGATCGGATAGTTTCAACCCAATCCCTAATAATCTACCCGCGCACAGAGAAGGGATTCAAAAAGCTAAGTAGATATCGAGGAGGACAAAGATACACACACTTCATCCCCCAAATCCTGCAGCAATCTGCCAGAAAACACAGCAGTAGGATTTAGTAGCTTCTTTCTTCCCCCATCCTCTCTTGGCCTTTGACACACACAGCAAACGAGAATCCATTCAGACGATACTTCCATGGTCTGAACCATCTTCACAGTAGTAAGGAGACAGTTGCCCGTCCTTCTTCTCGGCCTTGGTGGGCTTGCTTTCTGTTCCAACTTCTTGCAGCATCTTCACCACCCGTCTCATCGATGGGCGGTTGATCGGCAGAGAACTCGTGCAAAGAAGGCCGATACCCAGGACCCTTCTCATCTCCTCCCTGTGGTGCATGTAGAGCTTGGGGTCGATGACGTGGTCCGTGCCCTTCTGCTCCATGGTGCAGGATACCCACTTCACCAAGTCCTTCTCGCCGAACTCGGGATCGACCGGGAGCTTCCCGGTGACGAGCTCCAGAATGACCACGCCGAAGCTGTATATGTCACTCTTCTCGTTCACTCGGAGAGTGTATGCATACTCTGCAGCATATGAGAGACCATTAAATTACAGCTTCAGTTCTATGCATCCAGTAGATCGCAGAGGAGGAGGATGAGATCATCGTGGACAAACCTGGCGCGATGTATCCACATGAACCAGCGATCACAGACATGGATTTTGGCCCCTTGCCGATCATCTCAACAGCTTTCGCCACCCCGAAATCTGCTACTTTGGCACCATACTCACCGTCCAACAATATGTTGTTCGATTTCACGTCTCTGTGCACGATGGGCGGCATGCAGTCATGGTGCAGATAAGAGAGACCCTCCGCGGCGTCAAGCGCAATCTTATACCTCGTCGGCCAGTCCAAAAGCCCTCCTTTGCTGCCGTGCAGCAGGTCTCCTACGCTCCCATTAGGCATGTACTCATACACCAGCAGTTTGCAGTCCTTGGTGGTGCAGCAACACCACAGCTTCACGATGTTCTTATGCCTTATCTTCCCCAGCGTCGCAACCTCTGCCTCGAAACCATCATCCACGGAATGGTTTACGTTCTCCGCATCTTTCTTGGATGTTCCCCATAGCTTCTTCACAGCCACCGTCTCTCCGTTGCTGAGAACCGCCTTGTAGACCTTCCCGGAACCCCCGCTGCCAATCACGTTGTCTTCGTCAAGGCAGTCCAAGATCTCATACTCGCTGAATCCTAGTTTGTGGAATGATGTCAACGTCCATTTGGACTTCTCTGTTCCCTGCTTGGCCTGCTTGTACTTCCGGTGCCGCCAAACGTACCAGGCAACTCCGACGGCAAAGATCAACGAAGCAAGTATAAAGATGGAGCGGAGCAACCAGATGAAGCTACGCTGTTCCCCGGTGGATCGCGAGACAGGGCACAGGCCAGGCATGCCATTGCACAATCCCGGATTTCCCAAGAAGCTATTCCTGTAGACATCGTGCGAGAAAAGAGGTGGAACAGCGCCTGAGAGATCATTGTTCGATAAGTTGAACTCGTTGAGCTTTAGATTCTCCAACTGGATGGGGATACTGCCGGTGAGGAGATTGCCGGAGAGATCAAGGTAGTTGAGCACTGGGAGGTCGCCGAGCTCGGGGGGTATGCTGCCGGTGAACTTGTTATCAGCAAGGTTTAGCTCGCTGAGCTTCTTCCAGGAACGGATCCCTCGGAGCAGCTCACCGGAGAGAAGGTTGCGGTGGAGGTCGAGCTGCCCGAGCTCCTCCAAGTTGCCGAGCGACGCGGGGAGCGGCCCAGAGAACTGGTTGTTGGAGGCGGAGAACTCGTACAGCTTCGACAGAGCCCCCATTTCGGATGGGATGCTGCCGGTGAACCGGTTGTCGTCGATGACGATCTTGGAGAGGTTTGCAGCGCCGGAGATGAGCGGAGAGATCCCACCGGACAAGGAATTACCTCTGAGCTCGAGCAGCCAAAGATGTGGTAAGCCCCAGAATCCGGCGGGGACCTCGCCGAACAGCTGGTTGTTCCTGAGCCGGACGCGGGTGAGCGTTTGGCAGCGGCTGAGGCCTACAGGGAGGCCACCGGAGAACAAGTTGTCGATCAAAAGCAGCTCCTCGAGCACGCCGCGATCGCAGATGCTCCCGGGGATCTCTCCGGAGAGCATGTTGTCCGACAAATCAAGGAGCATCAGCGGCGAATTCTTGCCCAGGTCGGCTGGGAGAGAGCCATTCAGCCGGTTGGCAAAGAGGCGGAGCTCAATTAGACTCGTGGAGCGAGAGACGCCGGCGGGTACGGCTCCAATTAGTCTGTTCGAGTAGAAGTGGACGCTCTCGAGGAGGGGGGCGTCGAAAAGATCTTCCGGCAGCGGCCCCTCGAGTTGGTTCATGGAAGCGTCGATCTGGAGCAGCGAGCTGGACTTACCAAAGCCCAGCGGAATTGGACCGGAGAGCGAGTTATTATACAGCTCGATCTGAACAATGCTGGAGAGATTGACGATGGATTCAGGGATGCGGCCGGAGAGCGCATTCGTGGAGAGATCGAGGTCGGCAAGCTCCGAGAGCTGGCCCAGCGACGGCGGGATGTCGCCTACGAGGTTGCATCCGGCGAGCCAGAGGATCTCGAGGGAGGAGAGGTTGCCGAGGGAGGGAGGAATTTCGCCGGGGGCGAAGGGATTGTAGGAGAGGTTGAGCTGGCGGAGGGTGGTGAGGTTGCCCAAAAAGGCAGGGACGGTGGAGGTGAGCAGGTTGGCGACGAGGGAGAGCGCCCGGATGCGGGGGAAGCGTCCAAAGGATGGCGGAATGGGGCCGGTGAAGTTGTTGCCGGTGAGGTCGAGGTAGGTGAGGGCCGGCAGGGCGGCGAGGGCGTCAGGGAGTGAGCCGACGAGGAGGTTCTGTGAGAGGTCGAGGTGGGCGAGGGCGTCGCATGGGACGACGGCGGAGTCCGGGAGGGAGGAGTTGATGTAGTTGGCGGAGAGAGAGAGGAAGGCGAGGTTCGGGAGGCGGCAGAGGGAGGCGGGGAAGGGCCCGGTGAGTCCTCGATCGGTGAGGTCGACGGCGGTGACGGTGCCGTCCGAGCAGGTGATGCCGGTCCAATTGCACGGGGTGGAGTCACGTGGATTCCAATCGGAGAGGGCACCGGAGGGGTCTACGAGCCCTCTCTCGACTTCCAACAGGTACCGCCCTTCCTGGTTCAAGGACAGAGAGAGACGGCAGAGCTGCAACAAGAAGACTACAACGGCAGCTGCAAGTGCCATGGCTCGGTCCGGCAGATGGAGGAGAAGGGAAGGGAGAGGAACTAGAGCAGAAGCGAATGGCTACTCCTCCCACCACCACATCACGGATGAAAGATAGAGGTGGGAGAAAGAGGCAGAATTGAGGGCAGTGGAAGGAAAGCAATTGGATGATGGTGGAGGAGCAGGTGCCCACTTCATGCTTTCTACTCTCAGTGTGAGAGTCAGAGGCGGGCTAAGAAACCATTGGAATGCTTTCTTCTTCTCTCTCTCTCTCTCCTTTACGACGGACACCTTTGTCGAAACAGGTGGGATCGAAGTTGGAGCAATGATGCAGTGCAGTCCATTTATCCGCTGTCGTGCCATCTGCAGGGGACCTGCCACTGTTTAATTTGATATGGGAGGGAAGGCAGCAGCCAACACTAAAACCTGTCAGCTCACCAACCATTCGGAAGAGCATGAGGGATTGCCCAAACTCTTCAGTAGATTTCCCATGCCACATCACATGGTCTCCAAACAGCTGTGTCAGGCATTAGGTTGCTAAATTCCTGTACATTCGTGCAGGCTCGATGAGGTGGAAAGCTATAATGGTAGGCGATCTGTGTCACGTTGTTTTGTTCCCTGCATGCATTTGCTGCAGCTTTTCTTTCCTTCTTTCTTTTTGCTTCCCGGTGAAGGATGAACAGATCATTCAGCACAGCCTTCATCTCTATTATGTTGGATTTCTGAGTTCAAGCAACATAGGAAGATCATAATCTCTTATAAACAGCCAAATATAATTAATTATTATACGATTATATCTGCTTCGGAGACTGTCGCTCGCGTGAGTTGGCGTACAGGCAACAGTCAAATACACCCGTCGTAGACTTACATCTGTAGTAGTGACAGGCTCCTTGCATTTAAATCTCCACTGCGACTCCACACCTACCCATGTCTTCTTCCTCTCTCTCTCTCTCTCCGTGTCTCAGGGAGAAAACAATGGTGAATTCGAAACCTACCCCGAACTCCGAAGCAGTAACATCCTCGTTATCAACGGAGGCGGTCTCTTCATTACTGCAACAGTACCCCCCGGTCAAGAAATTTCCTCAGTATTGGGAATCCTGCGGCAATCTCGCTCATGCACACGCAGGCTGGTCTACACCCTAGTCATCTCATCACACTCCCACCCCGAGAACGGGATGCTGCATGCACGAGAGAATCGCTGCGACTGAGGAGAAAACATGTCGTCTCACCCTCTGCGTGACAACACGAAAAATGACAGGTGAGGAGGTCCGGCCGGGTTTGAGCTGTTGCGAGCGAGCAGCCAGCAAATGGGTGTGTCGGAGATATTTGATTCATGTGCCTCGTTGTGGGCGGGAAGCGACGGTGGAGGCAGTGGCCGAGGTGGCGGTGACTGACCGATTTGGAGTCAGTGCAGAGTGATGTGAATCTTCTCATCGATGAGTGTGTTCTACATCCAATAAATTTATGAGATCGATGGACGTCGTGTCGAGGTTAACGTCAATCAGAACGGAGTCAGTGCCATCGCCTGCAGGCAAGGGGAAAGGGCAGCCAAGGGGGTAACCACATGAGCGTCTCTCCTCGCTTCTGCTACCGGCAAATTGCTTCCCCTATTAAACTCCTGTCGTACACCGGGTGGATGGACGATTTAATGGTGGAGTGATCGGCCAATGAATTCATTCTGCTTCATCTCTGCAAGAGATGCTTTCGGCTTCCGATGGATCGTTACGGATCTTCTTTGATGAAACTTTCTCAGACAGCAACCAGGTCACAGAGCTTAATGATTTCTTCATCCTTCGCGTCTTTACCATCATGAGCAATGAGAACTCTGAAAAGGAAAGAGCTTAGGAAATGGTGTTGGGTCCAAATCATGCTTCGCTTTCAAGCTTGGCTTTCAGCTGCTGGCCGGTGCATGCCTTTTACGTTTGGTTTTTGGCTTTGGGAAAGGAGGAACATGGAGAGATATGATGCAACAACATGACAGGTGAATCTTTGTGCCTGCACAAATCTTTGGATCTGTTTCGTATCTGAAATCTAATGTGCTAATAATATTCTCTGTATATTTCACATGATCTTTGTGTTGTCACCTTCAGATCGACTGTAATAAAGTCACATGATCATTCCATTTTATGTAAGATTTCTTCCAATATATATCTCATGTTTTCACCTAAAGCATGTGAGAAAAGTTGGTACGAGATTCAACATGGCTTCAGGAGGTACTTCTAAAGTGCCATTCTATGATGCTTCGTAATCCATGACACACTACATGTATCTTATTTATGGAGTTGATATTAGAGAGAGAGAGAGAGAGAGGGAGATGAAAAAGAAGTATACCGACCTTTGGGGACATTCATACATGATGACTTGACCCAACTTCAACATATGGTGGTCATCGCAGCATAAATCATGTTCAATATCCTTCAACAATGAACATAATGAATGTGGTAGGTCATGGACATAGAAAAGCCACCATCAATGCCTCTTTCTACATCAAATCCGATGGTTGTTGAGTGGAATTAGGAAATCTAATTTTTGTTGGGGATACGCGTCTCTATCGTCCATATGTATTATAACTTTGATGTGTGGCCACATTTGTACAAGTGATCGTTCCTCGATTTGAATTTCAAAATAATATGATTTGATGTCAATTATCTATCTTATTCACTTAGGAATCGTCAAACTATAATATTTCTTGAGGGTATGTAATCATTAAGACAAGTCGATTAATAATCGATATATATAAATGGTCCAAAATATAATATACTATGTTGAAAATGAATCCTAAAATATTATATTTAATTATTATTTTAATATGATTATGTGGTATGTCAATAGAAGCACGACTAATTGAGACGATTATGAATAATAAAAAATTAAAATTTATATAATAAAAATAAAAAAATAATGGATTCCGTGTGGGTGCTAAATATAGACCCACTCAATATGATGCTTGTTTTCTTTCATAATTAAAATAATTTAAATAATTATATATTTAGATTTGTTATGTTTAAGAATATTTATTTTTCATCAATTTTTTTGATAAATCAATGAAATGATTGTCTCCTTTTAATACAATGTTTTTAAGCGGAATTGATCAACCGGTTTAATCGATTGGATTGGATTGATCAAACTTAGTAAAGATAATTATAATTTAAAAATATTATATATTATATTATATTTATTATAAATATAAAATATATTTAATGAGAAAGATTTCGATACAAAGAAAGTGTTGATTAATTTAGTTGGTAAAAACTTTGATAGTTCATCGTAAAACTATAGGTTTGAAGTTTACCTTCGTCTCTCTCTCTCTCTCTCTCTCTCTCACACACACATATATATATATATATATATATATATATATATATATATATATATAATAGACTAAATTAATTTGATGATGATATAATAGACTAAATTACACAAAGTCAAGATTTAGAAGTCTTATTCGACATATTTATGAAGGTATCAAGTAGTTGACTGATAAAAACTAATCAACAGTTTGAAATCTCATTCAATATATTTATAAGTAGTTGGTTGATAAAAGCTTTAACAATTTATTACATGATTTGAGCCTCAAATATGGTTTTCGTTATATAAAATATATAGATTGGGATTATATTATATTCATTAACAAGTCTCCATAATAAATATATGATTTATTTTAGTAATATGACTCCTCCTATTATTGTCAATACTACAAAATATTTTAGCGTCGCAGAATAGTTTTTATACAAAAAAAATCACTTTTGTTTATTGCAATTAATACTTCGTAGTTGTTTCCAAATCGAATTTTCCTAGCAAAAACATCAGCAAGCATTGCATTTACATTTACAACATATCACGGACAAGAGGAGGCCCAACTTGGAGCCGATGCCCAACTTTCATGAATTTTGACTCTTAATATATATTTATGTAAAACCATTCAAATTTTTATTTTTTTTGCTACCTTTTAATGATATGATTGCGATAAAAAGGAGATATTGGTCTAAAATTGACCAGATAAGAAAATTGATCCACTAATATATATATATATATATATATATATATATATATGTAAAATACTAAATCTTTTTTTTATGCCATTTGTTGTAATATAGTTTGAAGAGAATAATTTTTACCTAAAATATTAATTTCATAATGGACTTATATATAGTTTTATAAATTATCCTTTCATATATAATATGATACTAAATCGTCATAGTCGGTGATAATAAAAAAAATCATAAATTAAATTTATAATAATAGATAAATCCTACCATTAGATGTCACTAATTCCACATGAGAAACCTGTTTAATTTATTGTAAATACTAACCAAAGAAAAAAAATCAAAGAAACAACACCTTTTCATATATTACCATAAATTAAAAATAAATTGAAAGATTTTAGCTTTATCCTCTTTATTATCAAAACATATTATTATTATTATTATAATAAAAAAATAAGTAATGAAGGTAGGATTTAATCTTAAAATCTTACGATAAACTATTAAGATATTTACTAATGAGACTTATTAATGTAGACATAAAAGCTAATTAAAGTCTTAGTTCGATACTTATTCATCTATCATATCCAATTAATGAGTATCTTAATTTGATTTAGACATCCTAAAAGAAATAGCATATTGTTATCACTCTATTGACTAACATATGAGATATATCTAAAAAAAAGCAAAAAAACCATATGAGATATATATATATATATATTAAAATTAATATTCTAAAAATAAAATTATTCATTTATCTTATGTAGAGCGTAAAAAAATAAAAAATATTCCGACCTGCCGGATTCGAACCAGCGACCTAAGGATAACTATACCGACTACAGTCCTCCGCTCTACCAACTGAGCTAAGGTCGGTTTTATGATTATTTGTTGGTCATTAATTTAAATTCTAATGTTTATGGTTGCCTATGATTTTATTTTTTTGAATTAATATATTATATGTTTTATTTTTGGGGAAAATACGCGAGATGGATAGTGTGACATTTTATTATTTATTTTTTTAAATCGGATTAATTGTCGTGGTACGGAATTGAGTGTTTTTTTTTGGGTGCTCGTATGCATCGAAATCCAAATCAATTCATATAATAATGTGAGAAATGTGACGCCAAATGGGCCCCTCGGCGTCAGCAAATGGCATGGCCCACCCAACACGCGACGACCTGTGCCGGAAATAAACCTAAAGTCGCCGTCTCCCGGAAACCTAAACCCAACCCTACCCGCTCTCCGTCTTATTCTTCTCTGTCCCTCCCACGAAACGCCCACCTAACCTCCTCCTCCTCCTCCTCTTCCTCCTGATGTCGCTGCATATATAGCGAGATTTGAGGCTTGTCGATCTAAAACCCTGCCCTCATTCAATGCCCCCCAAATCCCTCCACCTCGATCTCTCCCGCGATGGAAGAAGCAGAACAAGGCGCGCCCTCGGCCCCAAACGCCTCCAAATCCCACTCGGATTCCTTCCTCCTCCTCCGATCCCCGCCGCATTAATCGCCTCCGACGATACCTCTTTTGGCTCCTCCCTGTCATCGCCTCCTTTTGTGATCTGCTAATGATGATGCGCGTGCCCTCGTCCGATCCCCCTCTTTGCCTCTTCCTCTCCTTGCCTTCTTCCGCGACTGACATCTCCGCCCGCGGACCCCTCTCCTCCCCGCGTGTATTGACCGCGTGCGTGCCGTCCTCTTTTTACCGGTTTCTTCCCGTTCCATCCCCGTCGGAGTTGTTTTTGTGATTTTGGAGCTGTGATTTCGGATGGAGCACGGCGAAGGCAATGGTGAAAAGAAGCTTCTTGAGGCGGGATTCGGGGCCTCGGAGGTCAAGAAGCAGTGGAAGAATCCGTTGCAAGTCCAGATCCTTGAGAACGCTTACGCAGGTGGTTTGCTCTTCTTTTCTGCTACTTTCAGCTTCAAGTTCGGATTTTTATTTCCTTTTTAAAATATACATGTTGGTGGTTCGTTAAATCTTTGATAGTCTGCTGCTTCACTCGCTTATCTGTTCTTCTGGTGCATACTTTGATTTGTTCAGTGGCGCCGAATCCATCTGCGGCCATGAAGGAAGAGTTGGCCAAGTTGACTGGGCTGGACTACAAGCAAGTCCAGTACTGGTTTGGAAATAGGAGGTATATGGATCGGCATGGCCCTCGGAGGTACAGAACTAGGAACGAGGGTGATGGGAAGTTTGTGAATTTCGCAGCTGTTTCCAATTCCGGCTTGAGCTCCAGCTCAACGTCATTTGCTGACCCAGTGGCTGGTACTGAATCCTCAAGTTCAAGGAGGAACTCTGAGATGCTGCAACACTTGGTGCCTGAAAGGCTAGCTCAACTCTTCACACAAATGCAAGATCAGCAAAGTGTGACCGTGCACGTTGAGAAAAAGCTTGGGCATCCTTTGAGGGCTGATGGGCCGATTCTCGGTGTTGAGTTTAAGCCTTTGCCGCCTGGTGCTTTTGGGGCACCTTTAGGTATCGTGATTCTTCCAACTCTGCCAAAACTCCTGTTGTTTGCTCTTTCTCTTGATTCTCTTGACTTGGGGCTGACTGTTAGATCGTGATGAATGTATGTTGATCATGCCTTAAATGCTGTTTGTTTTCATGATAGTGTTTAACTTTTAGGGTTGCTATGCCTTAAATACATTTTCACAGTACTTAGAATATGAGCTTGGAGAAAGCTATGTTATTCTACAGTGGGAATATCTAAGTGGTTGGGTGGACAAAACACAACTATTTCTTAAAATTTATGGAAAGAAGATCTTGTATTATGTATTATTAGAAATATGAGCATCATTAGGAAAAGGTTGGCATCTAGAATTTTTTAGGTGACTGGCCAGAAGTCGAGTGCACTTTATTATTAAAATCAGAGTATATATCACATGTGTCTTACGTTTGCCCACAAATTGTTACTTGAGTCTGTTGGATTACTTGTTCTGATTCTAATGTTTGACTTTCATTACTTAGAACTGTGGCTTCAAGATAGGATCATTAGTATCTTAATGCTAAAAAATGCAATCCATAGTGGAAATAAACTCTTTGTTGCTCTGTAAACCAACCACCCTTTGGTACTTGTCAAACCACAGTGCAGTGTGCACAAGGTGCCTATGCAGTTTTGTGTATGACTCACCTTCCTTCTGAAGTTTAGGGTATCATGTGTGTATTTGCCATGTCACTTCAAACTTCAACCTCGTTGTCCTTTTTTCCCAAGTTAAAGTTTACAGCTGCAAATTTGTAAGTATTTAAGTTTACGCAGAATTAAACTTATTTTTTTTTTATCATTTTTCTTTTTTAAAAAATGTTTATAGCTACTAAATTTGGCGTCCCACTATCTTACGTATTATGGCATATTTGATTTATCTTTAGCCAACTTTTATTTAAAGGTTCATACATTATATAATCATTTTATTTTTAAGATATAACTTTGACTAATTTTCCTACAAATCGTTTGAATACTATAGGTTGGTCAGCTGTCGATATTTTAGCTTTTCTTTGTTTGTTATGTGGAGATTGCTGCTGACTAGCTTTATACAAATGGCAAATGCAGCACAACAGAGATCATCACTGTGGCCTTGTGATGGCAAAGTAACCGAGAGACCAACCGTCAAGTCGATCAAGGTCTTGTACTCTATTTTGTCATTTGTTTCGCTACTTGATTATGATTTCCTGTCTAAACCTGCGAAATTGAGACTCCTGGATCATGCATATAGATCACTTAATCTGATAACTTCTTATTGGATGGTAAAGAATGTTTTTCATTATGATGTATTGTACTTTGACTCTTTCCATGTAAAAGGACATTTCGAGTAATTTATCATTGGTAAGATGGTTATCTTTTCCTTCTACAGGCAGCCACATCGTTGCCCATGTCGGGTTGTTGTTTAATGACAAACTTCTCTAATGAAGGAACTGATATCTCCACTCGAGATTTTGATGCACTTAATCCTGATGGTTCTCCCAGGGTTGTTGAGGAATACCAACTTTTTCCAATGCAACCAAGCTGGCTAGATAGTTATGAAAGAGTAAAACAGGCTATTTGCCCTTTATCTCCAGCTAATACTTTAAATAATCAGGTATTAACGTCTGCTGAAGGGCAGACTGTTAGTGAATATGTAAGTGCAGCTTCAGCGTTTACCCCTCAAGGTCAGCTATCAGATTCCACCAATCAATCTCAACAAGGCAAACAAATGACTATTTCTTCAACTCTAAATGGTCATCAGAAAGCCCCAGATCATTTGTATAGAAGTTCAGCTTCTGATTCTCAGGATAAGAATCATCCAGCTACTCGATTGGACAATCAGTTTCCATCGTCTGATCAAATAATTACCTGCAATGCCAATGAGCTTCGAAGTGAGAAGGTAATTTGAACTGTCAATAAGACGATCTTTTATTAAATATTTTGGACTCGTGCCTCAGCAAAGAAAGATAAGACAAATCTATCATTGTGCATGTGTTGATTTGTTCTATAAAGAGTTTAAAAAAGTTATATACAATAAGTGGTGTTTTCTTTCAAGTCCCTGCTTTAAAGACTACTTCAGCATCTCCAAACTCCTATAATCAAATGGGAACAAATGTGAAAATAAAAGTCCAAATACCATTTGGCTGAAAGTGCTGCTTTATTTTTCTTATTTTTGTTCTGTCTATTCCTAGGAATTAAAAGATTATGTGCAAAAGCTCCTCCATGAGAAAACTGAATAGAGTCTGTTGTCATGAGTATCTAAATTTTACAAGACAATTTGTTTACAACTATTCCTTGTACAAAGCAAATAATGGAAGGCAAATAGTTCTGTAGCATAAGTTTATGGGGTTGAAACTCAAAACACAGATCGAGATATCACAGAGCTTCCTATCATGCACATAGTGGTTAATTAAGAGCATTCCTTAAATTATGAGCTGATTCATGGTGTCAGTTGATTACTTGATGTAGCTTCCAAAGTGTTATACACCTGATATATTGTAAATCTTTAACAATTTTTGCTAGCCACTAGACATCATTTATTGAGCATTTTTTGCAACCTTGGGCATGCTTATCGAAATGTTTTCTGCTTTTTTAGATTTTGAATGTTAATAAGATTTGTTTTTTAACTGCAGATACATTCATTAGGATCTAGCAGTGACAATGGTAACCAAAAGCATGATCTCACAGAAGTTCAAAAGATAGTTGATGCCAAGAAAGAAAGGGATTCAGGTGTTCCTGATGTTGGACATGGCGATCCTGGACCAGGGGGTCATGGCCAAGGCGGAGAAGGTAGTAGTCATCTTCAGATGGAATTGGTAGAAAATCATATCTCTGCTGTAGTAGCCTTCAAGGAAGTAGAAAACAAGAACTTCAACAAGGTGGTAATGAATCAGACAGCTGACCTTCCACATCAGGTCGGTCATTGGCATGGATATAGCCGTTATTTTGTGAAGCCGCGAGAGAGATCTCACAGTAGTATAACAGATACTGGGGACACAAGAGTAAGCTATTTCAGCAACACTGGAAGATGCGTCAGACCTCTTATTGCTGAGTGGAATGAAAGAGAGAAGAAGGCAGTTTATATTGACAATGACAATGAGAGTTCTCTATCATGGTCCACCGGATCTGATTCAACTTGCAGTGACGGGTTTGATGATCAGGCAACCGAAAATGGAAGGCATTATGCCCAAACCAATTCAGTAGATCCATGTGATATAGATATTGAAAATGATGATATACACAAGGATCACAACAGGCAGGAAGTCGTGGATGTTGATCTGAATGTTGAGGATGATGAAGATGAGACAGATGATGAGGATTCCAACATGAAAGAGGAGTCCAAGGACAAGAAAATGGAGGTTAATGAAGACAGAAGAACATCACCCCTTTCTTCAGAACAAACTGCTTAATAGGGCTATGTATTATGCACATGGAAAGTCATAAAGTTGAAAAAGAAGTGATTCTTGAAACTGCCATCATCTTTGGTCTTAGATTGGTACCCATGTATGCTGGAGGCCAATGGAGCTGTTTGCTCAGTCATATTGAAATATTGTAGTAAAAAGAAACATCAATTGGTCAAGAGGCTTTTCGTACGTGCCTTTCAGTCTTGCAGCTGGCATTATCTGGGAGCTATTTCTGGCCTTACAAGTGTCAAATTCTAGCATAGCCTGTACAAATTATGGTTTTCTATTTGTTCCATTGAACTTGGTACTAGTTTTTTTTTTCTCCATTGATGGCTTTATTATGACTTTATGACGAGAATCATCAGCAACCTCCAAAGAGTTCTCCGGATTCATCTGCAGCATGGCAATCTCAGGGATAAAATGTGACAGCCAGAGCGTTTAGGTCACCTGCTTTGTTGTGCCAGATATAGTGACATGGCAAGTATGGTGGAGAGAGAAGTCATGAGATTGACTAATGGTATGATTGTATCAGGCATTCTGTGAGAATGAGGTGGAATGTTAGTTTGACAAGCTGACATCAGCTTGTCTGCAGCATTTTTTTATATTAAAGAATTACTATATCAACTAAGACATCAGCTTCGTATTATGATTTGGTCAATCAGAGTGTGATGTAGCGTGGAGATGACTCAATGGGCCAGCCTCATCAGGTTAAAGAACATGTTATTTATCCTTGGAACCTGTGTAAGCTCACAAGGAAGCAAATGATATTCCAATTAGTGAGTGCAAGTGGGACTGCAAGATTGCTCAACATATAGGTAACCAAAAGTTTCTGATGATAATATTTCGTGAAACTGACACCAAAATAACTGTGCAATAGGTTCTGTATGTTGGACTAATTAATTTTATATTTGTTAGGTTGACAAAATGATCTCTTCTGATGGCCTTTTGATGGTTTTTCATGCGTATGTAAGTTCACTCGAGCATTTCATGACTTTGCTCCTTTGATTGTCATCAGAATCCTCCCGTAAAATATACAAGCACTTCAGGTTTGCGGATGAGTTCTAGTTGATTCCATTCAGGAGTTGAGGAAGGAGCAAAGAAGAAAGAGCTATGAATCTTGACCTTTTCTAAGAAAAAAGTAATGATCTTCCTTGTCCTTTATTCTGCTTGGTAGATTTGTTCTGGATCTGATTCTTCTTTTCTTTCTCGTTTTTATGTTAGTATGGTGTCAACAGAAGAATATCGGTGGACTGTGAACTACATTGTTGAGATCTATCAGGCTGGTCTACAACGATGGGGAAGCTTATTTACTGTTTCTGGCATGATCACTCATCCGGAAGCACTCGGAACATGAATGAGTGGATCTGAGTTTAATTCTGTGGGACAACTTTCGGTGTTTTAACAGAAGAGGTATGTGTTTCTTTTCTTTTCTTTTTATTGGAATTTGAGGAAGAATTAATCACGAGCTCGATCTGTAAATGCTTCAACTTGTGACAGCTGCTTTCTTATGCAATTCTTGTCTATGATGGGTAACAAATACCCGCTATTGCTCATCAGAAATTTATATAATAAACAAAATTCTTGCCAAATATTCTCTGAATGAAGCATTTCAAAGTTTAGGACGTTGTAGAATGTTGCCTATATACCTGGATTCTAATGGGTGCTCTTGTGGCAGGCACCACGACGACATCGTTCTTGGCCCACCAAGAACAAAATTACTCATCTGCTGGCCAACAGCAGCCTTGTCAATGCAAACGCCTTCTCCAGAGCTTTCTCCGGTTCTTCATGCTTGTGCAATGACGGTGTTCCGATCACTGGCTTGGGCCACCAGGGAGAAAAGTACTTATCTGCTGGCCAACAGCTATGTCAATGCAAACGCTCAACCACAGAAACCCCCCTCTTAAGTTTCTCTGTCAATATTTATGTCCGACATACTAAGCTGCAAAGCGAAGCAGCTGCTAGACTCCGTCAATTTTGGCCGCAACGATCAGTTCACTCATTCATGATTCAGTCGAAAGTGTACTACGCCTTGATTCATTTTTGTATAGCAATGAAATCAATGAATCCTCTCAGATCTTTCATGTTCTTTGTCTTTGTAGTTTGCTTGAGAAATGCTTTCTCGCAGAGAGTGATTCTTGAACTGCTGCATCCAAATTCTTGCGATAAACCCCATTGGTCTCGTTACATAAAGATCATTGAGATGCACAAAAGATTAATAGACAAATTAATAAGAGTAAACATCAAGGATCTGCTTATTCCTTCAGTTTTATTAATGTAATCATGAAACCAACATGTCTGGCACATTTGCTTCTCATTGTTGGCAGAAGATGCAACAAAATGAATCAGCAGATCACAGTGGGATTCACTTTCGGACTATAACAAAGTGTCAACTCATTAACTCATCCCTCTGTAACCGAGTAGATACACCTGCTAAACTCTTAAAACCTTGTTAATCCTGACCATTGAATAATTCGTGATTGAAATTACCATCGCATCGAGACCTCAGGCTGCAGGCATGCCGACATCACGGAGTCAACACCCTTTTGAACCCTGAAGTCAAACCTTGTTGGGATCTTTATATTGAACTTTACACGAAGATTTCCTTTCTTGGAAAGATCTTTCGGCACCGGCATTCCCTCTCGACGGACCACCTCCTCGTGCGTAGAATGACCGAATCTATGGGTCCGGTGGGGTCAGTTGAACAGTATAACCGGTCAGGGCTTCGACCAAGGAGATCTTATGCGTCGCAATCAGATCATTTCCTTCCCTTGTGAATACATTATGTGGCTTTTCGTCAATGATGAAGACTATATCTGCAGGAATGATGTGAGGACAAAATTTCCATCCAGGCCTAACATCGATGGACATTTCGTCCACTGTCGTCGTTTTCCTGTGACACAATAGCACAAAAAGTTAGATGTTACCAGAAAAATATTAGCAAAGGTGATAAAGCATATTGCTGATCTGGTAACGTGAATAAGATTTTCAATCACACCAATGTAAACACGGAACCTCGGGAGGAAGACGGAACGCTACGTCGGATGTGCCACCGTGAATTCGGGACGATGACCGCTCCCCTCTCGCGCCATTGGAGTCGCATGAGTCAGCGTCGTCCCGACAAGGATCGATCCAAAAAGCTCGAGACGATGCTGCATGGCCCCGTTCCACACATACCGAGTGACAGTCGTCCGAAAGTACGAACTCGTTACCCATGAAATCGATCGTCGTGCGAAGATCACGTACGACCGAACCCCGGGTACCAGAATAAAAGCCCCCTGCCAGCATATGTCGTGGGGCGACAAAATTTATATAGAAGTTCTATTGACTTTATCTTTGGAATGACTTAAGTTAGGAAATTCCTCCCATCCCGACCTAAGCCAGTGTGTAGGAGCCCGACGATAACAAAGCTTGAGCGTGCTAACTGAAGAGGGGCATCCGGACCAACCCCGAGCTCAACCCAACCCGACAAAGGTCTCATCCCCAGGACGATCCTGGACATCGATAATCGGACCAAGCCGCTCAGGCTCCTCGACCACGTCGTAAAGATTGACTAACAAAAGGCACAAACAGGATTAGCATAAACTTAGTGTTATCACTAGGTTATCAATTTAGTGATAATAATTAGGAAACTTTTTCTTCATACTAATAATGTGTCCGGCAAAACCTTTATCGCTCCTAATGAGTTTTACATCCATACATAAGAACAAGTTCAAGCCTCACATGATATGAGCAATAGACAGTAAAATAGCAGCTCCACAGATTTTTCCAACTCAGCAACAGGAAGATCAATCCATATGTGAATTTGTTTCCATCAGACTAAATGCAGATTTGATGCTGTCAGACTTAAGTTTGATGATTTTGCATTAAAAATACAAAATTAAATGCCTTGAATCCTTGTAACTAGAAAAGAGAATTATGAAGGTAATAATTAAAGGAGAAAAGAAATAAAAATGTGAACTAATCAAGAACAGAGAAGTCAGTGTCACTAATGTCACATCCATCTACTGACTTGCTTTATAAGAATATCCAGCAACAAGGAAAAGGGACAAGAAGAAAGACAGAAAACAACAAGAAAACCTCTTCATGATGGACTCATCCTACCAAGTAGAGCATATATGGATACATTCCCAATAAAAACTAAATAATATTGATCTCTTTCTTCTGATGACAACCTGAAACAACATGACCTGCTTCTGTGATGAGAGTCAGAACTCAGAAGGGGATCAAAAGGTGTGGTAATCCAACTGAACTGAACAAAGCATATACAAACATAATTATAATTTTATACAACCTTTGCTTCAGGATGGACCACAGCAGTTGCATCAGGGAAAACATTATTATAATCAAGAAAATATAATTTTTATGTAGGAGAACAAAAAATTTAGAACATAATTCTGAAAATGGTTATCAGTATCCAGTTACTATATGCACACAATTTGTTATTATCAGTGATAAACTGGTTATATCCATTTAATGTTGTATATATTTTCCTGTCCTACTCTACAGTTTGGTCTCACTGAATTAACCACTTGGATACACACCCTTATTCGATTCTTTTAGGTCCATGCAAAAGCTCTTTACCTTCCTAAAACTTTTCTTTTCATGCACACAAAAAAGGAACAGCATTTTTTTTATACTAATGAAACAAGATAGATAAATGGTGAAATAAACAACCATATAATTCTTGATATAAAAACACAGGGTAAAATCTAATAAGATGTTACTCAGCATGCATGGCGATCACCCAAAGTCAAAGTTCACTGTAACCAAACATACTGAAGAAGTTGAAAGAATCATTTTATCAATCACTATCATAAAACATGATTTCTACTCGACAAGGAAGACTAACAATATTTAGCAGCCAAGACCAAACTGGAGATCTGTGATTACAAATTGCACATATTTTCTCTAATGTGGCACTGAACAGCTTATAAACCTGATATGATCATACTATCATGTTTTCAACCTAGATAAAAATTATTGTATAGCAAGCATCAGAAAAATTCAAGCATGCTAGCAGATCATAGATGTACAACAACAGAATACCATATTATTTATAAGAACAATATAAACAATGAATGTGGTCTCCTTCAAACAGATTAGATAAGCACAAGATATAACACCAAAACTGCAGATACAAGACTAATTCTCTCGATTAGCAATAAACTAGCACCAATATCTTTGACCGTAAGAATGGGAGATGAATTGGTATTAAAAATCATATTTTTGAACAATATAGAACAAATGACCTTTTCGTGATTGCTTTACCAAATATATCTACTTTTCTATGAAGCAGCATGAACTACAGTTTTCATCCTCTTTCCTTCACTTATATAACATAGCAGTCTAGCTAGAGAGACGTATATTACAAACGTGAATGAAGTACCTAAATCAACCATGAAAGCACGATAAAGGAAGAAAACTAAAGGCCAATGCTTCTGGACTTCTTTGATAGAGATCAGAGCGAAAACTCACCTACTGGCATCCAAAACCTCCCTAGATATCTTCATCTTCTTGGCGGTTCCTTTGTATAAGTCCTCGAGGCTGCATGGCAGCCTCTTCTCGACGGGGGCCGCCTTGCGCGGCTGTTGAGTATGCATAGTCGCTCCCTCCCGTTCGCCGCTGAAGGCCGACACGAAAACGTCATTTCCGAACATCCCACCTGATAGGGAAAATAATGGGCCGCTGACGCGCCGTGACGACAGCCCCCGGCCAAAGCAATAACGCTGACTAGACCCACCCGGACGACTCCCGCTGTTGAGAGGCGACCTCCGACCCCGCATGGTTGACCACGACCAGGCCGGACAATGACCTGCCCCTCGCCCATACCCTGCCACGAACCGCTCCACCACGCGATCCCAGCAGCCGCGTTAGACGCCATCAGAGGTACCCCCTCACCCCAGCAGGCGGTCAAATCAGGTAATGCTAACCTCCTCTATAAATACCCCTAAGTCCTAAGCAAAAGGGGGAAAAAAGGGCTCTCAACGTACTCAATACTCGGAGGTTTCTCCCCCTCCTAAAACCCCCTCCGCACCTTTCGCTAACTTGATCGTCGGAGGGGTCGGGTCGAGCACCCCGACCCGGCCTTGGTGCAGGTGAGAAGCCTTCGGAGTTCATCGCCTACGGAGACTCAGCGGGCTCAAGGAGACTCCCCCTCCTTTGACCACCACCTTCCGGACCCGAACCGAGCCGCGACGACCTCAGGGCCACGGCTGAATAGTTACTGACCGTAACATTTTGGCGCTAGAAGGAGGGCCCGGAATGTCGACTGGTCAACAAACCCGCCTCGGCGATTCCCCAGCTGCGAGAACGCACCCGGTCGGGACCCCGAGAGATCATCCCCCGCGGGAAGAGCCCCAAGAGGGGCGTCTCGCTTTGACTTCGGAGCAATACTGGCGCCTGTTCAATGACCCGGGCTTGTCGCCACCCGACGCCACCGTCGTCCCCCCATAAGTTTCCCCCGAGGCCTTCCACGACCTCGCCCACCAAGTAAGGGCACTGACGGGCATGGTGCAAGCCATCGTTCCGCTCATCCCCCAACCGGCGCCCCCGCAAACGGACCAGCCCTTGCATCAACGGGAGCCTGCCTCTCGGGAGCACGCGCCACCCCCCAGGCCTCCTCCGTCGCCCCGAAACCAAGCGACCCGACTCGGTGACCGGGAGACAGTGGGCACGTCGAGTCGCCCCGAGCCCGAATGGCCACCCGCGAACTCAACCCACACCTTGCAGGCGCAGCTGCATCTTTTTAATCAACGTTTGAACGAGGTACAACAAGAAGTTCGCAGGTCGAAGGGAGAGCCCGGAACGGAAGGGTACCAAGGATCCCCATTCGCGCCCGAAATACAAGATCAGGCCATCCCGCTGCACTTTCGGCTTCCATCCCTGGACGCCTACAACGGCGCCGCCGACCCCGCGGATCACGTAGCCGCGTTTCGCGCCCAAATGGCGCTGTACGGAACCTCTGACGCCCTGATGTGCAGGGCATTCCCAACAACTTTGAGGGGGCCGGCCCGCGCATGGTACGACAGCCTCAAGGCAGGAACCATCTCTTCTTTCGACCAGCTCGCCCGGGACTTTGAGCTCAACTTCCTCGCCTACGCCCGCCCGAAGCCGTCCGCGGCGCTACTCCTCGGACTCAACCAAGGGGAAGATGAGTCCCTTTCCCACTTCTTGGATCGTTTCACGACGCAGATCCGAGGGCTCTCGGACGCTCATCCTTCCCTATTGATGCAGGCATTCATGATAGGCTTACGACCCTCCAGGTTCTTCTGGTCCCTGGTAGAGCGACCCCCCACAACGGTGCCAGAGATGCTCCAGCGGGCGAGCCAATTCGTCGCGGCGGAGACATGGATGGCCGGGAGACCCAGGGGACACAGGGGAACCAAATCGGAGCCGCCTCGACAGCAACAGCCACCAACATCTCGGCGCAGGTCGGACAGATCTGACCCAACGGCTCCGAGGCCGCCCCTGCCGGCTTTGAATTCATCTCAAACAGACATATTCCTTCATATAAGGGGAAAAGGTTTGCTCAAAGAACCCTACCCGATGAGTGACCCCCGGGCGCTGGCAGATCAATCGAAATACTGCCGCTTTCACCGGCAACGTGGGCACGACACTGAACAATGCCGGGAGTTGAAAAGGCAGATCGAGGAACTCATCCGCAGGGGGCACCTCGATCAGTATCTCCACCCGAACAAAGAATCTTCTCCCCGCCCGGAAGGACCCGTCGAGCGACGGATCGACGTGATATCAGGCGGCCCCGCATCCGGTGGAGACTCCATGGCCCGCAAGAAGGCATACGCCCGAGCCACCTCAGCTGAGGCTCCCAGACACGCGCCCAGACCCAGTGTCACCTTCCCGGCCAGGGCGTATGAACAGGTCGAACACGATGATGCACTCGTGATTTCAGCCAGGATCGCCAATGCGCAGGTACAAAGGATCATGGTCGACACCGGAAGCTCGACCGACATACTGTACCTCGACGCCTACCGGAAGCTCGGCCTACCCAGGGATAGCATGAAGCCGGTGTCCTCGGCGCTCACCGGCTTCACCGGCAATTCAGTCTCGCCGCTGGGGGCGGTCACTTTGCCCCTGACCCTGGGAGTTCCGCCGAAGTCGAAGACAACGATGACCACCTTCTTGGTCATCGACCTCCCCGCCGCTTACAACGCCATCCTCGGCCGACCGACACTCAACAAGGTCAGAGCTGTCGTCTCGACCTACTATCAAACCGTGAAGTTCCCAACCTCAGTAGGGACCGGCGAAACTACGGGAAGCCCTCGAGAATCCCGGTGCTGTTACTTGACCGCCGTCTCGCTACCGAAGAAGCCCAGGGTCGAACCACCGTTGACGGACCCCCGAGAAATACAGAGGTCGGCCCCCCATGTCGAGCCGAAAGGAACCACGGTCGCCGTGTCGCTGCAAGAAGGACGCCCGGAACGGACGATTAAGGTCGGGTCAGAGCTGCCCGAGCGCGAACGAGAACAACTCGTCGGCCTCCTACAAGAAAACGCTGATGTCTTCGCTTGGTCACCCTCTGACATGACAGGCGTCGACCCGGAAGTCGCCCTACATCGCCTCAGTATTTCCTCCGACGCTCGTCCGGTAAAACAAAAGCTGTGGCGGCAAGCCCCAGAACGGCAGACAGCCATACGGGAGGAAGTAACTCGCCTCTTGAAGCTGGATACCCACAATGGCTGTCCAATGTAGTTCTTGTCAAAAAAGCTAATGGAAGCTGGAGGATGTGCGTTGACTACACAAGCCTTAACAAGGCATGTCCGAAGGACTGCTATCCCCTACCAAGGGTCGACCAGCTGGTTGACGCTACGGCAGGATACGCCCGCCTGTCATTTATGGACGCCTTCTCGGGCTATAACCAGATCAGGATGGCACCTGAGGATCAGGAACACACGACCTTCATCACCGATCACGGGGTCTACTTTTACAAGGTCATGCCCTTCGGACTGAAAAATGCCGGCGCGACGTACCAAAGGGCAGCAAACAAGATATTCGCCCGCCAGATAGGTCGAAACATGGAGGTGTACGTCGACGACATGATCGTGAAGAGCCAAGAAGCCGGGACTCACTTGGCTGACTTAGCCGAAGCTTTCGCTACACTCCGCCGGGTCGGCATGCGGCTCAACCCCGCGAAATGCGCCTTTGGCGTCACATCAGGAAAGTTCATCGGATTCATCGTGCACGAAAGGGGGATCGACGCCGACCCGGAGAAGCTCCAGGCAATTATCAACATGCAATCGCCCCGGACTACCAAGGACTTGCAGCGCCTCAATGGGAAACTCGTTGCCATGTCCCGATTCCTCGCTCGATCAGGAGATCGCTGTTTCCCCTTCTTCAAGGCACTGCAAAACCCGAAGGGCTTCCAATGGACAACAGAATGCGAGGAAGCCCTCCAGCAAGTAAAACGACACCTGGCCAACCTCCCGCGGCTCACCTCGGTCACTCCCGGCGAAAAGCTGAGCATCTACCTGGCCGCTTCCCCGCACGCAGTAAGCTCCGTCCTGGTCAAAGAAAGCTCCAACGGCCAACTCCCGGTCTACTACATAAGCCATGTCCTCAGCGGCCCGGAGGAACGATACCCTCCGATCGAGAAGCTGGCGCTCGCCCTTGTGCTGTCCGCCCGGAAACTGCGCCCCTATTTCCAGGCTCACCCCGTGGAGGTAGTTACAGACCAACCACTTCGGCTGGTCCTGTCTAAATTTGATGTGGCAGGACGGCTTCTCAAATGGGCAGTAGAGCTCGGCGAACATGACGTTCAGTACGTACCCCGGACGGCCATCGCCGACTTCATCGCGGAGTTAACCCAAGACGAGAGCGGGAGCCTCGGACGACCTCCCGAGGCCTGGGTCCTGCACGTCGACGGATCGGCCAACTCAAAGGGTGCAGGCGCAGGGTTGGTGCTCCGGGCCCCCGACGGGCGGTCATACGAGCGTTCCCTCCGCTTCGGGTTCCGCGCCACTAACAACGAAGCGGAATACGAAGCGCTCCTGGCGGGACTCAGGTTGGCCCTCGAGATGCAGGTGGACTCCCTCCGGGTCCACACAGATTCCCAGCTGGTGGCCGAACAACTCAGTGGAGGATATGAGGCTCGCGACCCGACCATGGCAAGATACCTTGCACAGTCGGGCCAGAGGTCGAGGAGCTACCCGCCCGCGCCTTTGAAATCGCGACCGCGGCTACCGGCAGCACGTCCTCCTGGGTACAAGAACTGCTGCGCTACAAACAGGACGGAATTCTCCCGCCCGACAAAGCAACAGCCCGGCGCCTGCTTCGCACGCACGCGTGGTATATCGAGGCGGGCGGGCGGCTCTACAAGCGATCTTTCTCGTACCCCCTCCTGCGATGCTTGGAGTCCGACGAGGCGCAAACCGTCCTAGCAGAGATACATGAGGGTGCCTGCGGAGAACACATCGGTGGGCGGATCTTAGCGCATAAAATACTCCGCCAAGGCTACTACTGGCCGACCATGCGCCGGGATGCAGCGGTGTATCTCATGCCAAGAGCACGCCCGCACACCTCGGCTCCCGGCAGTCCCTCTAGCCCCTATCGACTGCGCTTGGCCGTTTGTGCAATGGGGGTTAGACATCCTCGGGCCCTTTCCCTTAGCCGCAGGACAGCGGAGATTCCTCCTCGTCGGCGTGGATT